GGTCCATTTTGCACTTAAGAGCCCTTAAAAGCCACATGATTTCCCAGGCTGGGGGTTCTTTGAAGCATTTGGTGGACGGGCTTCTGCATCATGTGCAAGGCCCGTAACGTCAGGCGGGGAAGGGCTTGGTTGCTCTTTGGCTTGTCACTTAGGGCTTAAGCAGGTTGAATTTGAATCTACTTGGGGCTCCAAGCTTGTGGCTTGGCACCTTTCTCTTTGTGACGTTTTGGAACATCGCCTTCCGTTCGCTTAACATGTGTGTTATTTCCCCTGTGGGTTGTAAAGGTCGCCTATCACTACTGCATTTTTCCCGGACTTCAGCAAATCAGGTCACAGCAGCAAATCCGGGCACAAGAAAAGCCGGAGCGGTTTGGGCAGCCCACCGGCATGCGAGCATGCGCGCGAGCGCATGCCTGTCGGAGCCGTCCAGAAGTCCGCTAATTAGTGCGGCCTCAATCGAAGGATTCATCGGCATGCGAGATTTGCCTTTGGAAGACTGCTAATCAACAATCCAAATGTTCCCACGACCATGACCTCCGATCCATCACTCCGCGCACGGCAAAGAGAGCACACGAAGAATGTTTGGCATTCGAAGTCTCTGCTGCGATCGCATCGCAGCCAGCAGTTCTTTTCTTAAAAATTGCATCAACTCGGCGCAGAAGCAGCCAGGCAGCGAAACGGGTGCAGATGCACTGTCACAAACGTCTGGGAAGGGTGCAGAGGGCACAGGCAGTAGCGCTGCAGACTTCCTTAAGGCTTTAAACATGGCCCCGGGATTCGGACGGTTTTTTCTCAGCGCCCTGCCCAGTAAACGGAGCACTGCAAGGAATGCAAGGTTGCAGTTCCATGTGCAGGACTGTCGCGGACATTGCTTCGAGGTTGTTGCCTCGATCAACGTCCATGCACCCCGGCTTGGAAGTTTGGAAGTCTGGGGCATGGGATTGTGACGGCGCGACCCCTCTTCGAGATCTGAATCCTTGGCTTTCAAGCATGTTAATTAGGCTTAGGCCTTTGACTTCAGGCAAGCTCGTCATGTGGAATGCGGCCCCTTGCAATAATCCACGGGCTCTTCGGATTGATGCAAGCTTCCCCGGCTCCATCAGGTGACATCAGATGAAGGTTCTGTTGTTGAAGGGGGAAGTGTGTGTGTGTGCGTTTGCCGACATAGGCCATTGCGTACCAGGGTGTTCCCGAGAAATGCTTCACACCCTCCCCCCTTCGGTGTAGACTCGGGACCAGGTCGGAGCCATCCCGGGCAGAGGTGCTGCCGTTCCGGAAGCGCAGCGGCTCGGTGCGGGGAAGTTGGTGCGTCTTTCTTTTGGCCTATTTGGCTGTGGGCTTTGGCATTCGAATGGATTTTCGACCCCCAAATGCCAGCCATGAAGGAACCCAAGAAAGCCCCAAGTCTTTTGGAAGGTCGCGGCCCGGAAGAACACTGTCTTTCAAAGCGTAGGATTCCGTTTGGCATGCGCTGGCACGAAGCTTCGAGGGTGTGGGAAACCGCCCAGAGCAAACTGTTTGACCTTTGCAGCTTGCTAATTACTTACTTTTGGTCAGGGATAAGGGTTTACCTTTGTTTTCAGGTGATTCGGGCAGAGGTGTTCTTGATGTCCCTTTGGTTAGTGGAGTTCATGGATCAGGCGATAGTCCCGCTCGGCTCCTAGAAGAATGTGGGCCCATAGTTCTTCATTCAGGGAATTGATTCTGTCCCCCTTACGGGGACATCAGTATGCATGACATTTTTTAGTGTGCACCTTCCTTGGGTAAACGGACGGGTTGATTTTTCATTCACAAGCGCATGCCCAGCTGCCGCAAGAACTTCCCAAGCCTAGGCACATCACCATGGTTTGCCTGACCTGGTGGTGATGTTTGTATGGGCACGCTTTTTTTGTTTTCCTTGTGGAAGGCTGTCGTTCTTTTCTGGAAGGGAGTTGATTCCAGATTTCTTGGAGACAAGCACGTCACGTCCGCATGGTGCATCGTAAGCCCGAATGCGTCAGGTTTCTCCATGCGCAATTTGTGGGTGGGTATGCCTCCCTGGCCTACTTAATCCTGCGCCAGATGCTAGTGGCTGACCTTGCTGAGTGGCCTCCGTCTGGATCTCCAAACTGGGCACGAATCTTTTCCCAAATGACGCCCACCAAAGGTTCCCACCAAAAGGCAGTGCGTTCTTGGAGGGTAGCCCTGGCACCTTGGTTTTAAAGGGAAACCAACAGGGTCCCTATGTTGGCCACGGCCCGAAATGGCTATGGGTCAAAATTAGACCATCAGGGGACCGCAGATTTAGTTCTTGGCTCCATAACCCGGGGTTCCACACCCAAATCTGCCTGGCGGCCCACTTATGGATGCGCTTCAGGCAAGTCCCTCGTGGAGCCCAAGGCTTTGCCCAAGCCCGGGGACGGCTGAGCGGCGATCGAGCGGAACGAACAGCTCGCCTTAAGTCCCTTTTGGATGTAAGAAACCGGCGATGTCCATTTGTTGTTGTTGTTGTTGTTGTTGT